TGGTTTAATTTTAAATTAGTTTTCATTTTTACCTACTGCAATATCCTCATAAACAACAACAGCTCACCCCAGGATCATTGGTGTTTGTAGGATTTTGGCCTGCACGTGGCCAGAGTTTTATCCTAAGCCTTAATGTGCTGCTTTCCTCACAGCTTCAGCTCAAACCTTCTCTAAAAGCCACACCTAAAAACGGAGATCACACCGAGCAGTGCTTTATGCACAGCCCAGATGAAAGGTTGCTTTTCTCCTCTCCTTCACAGCGTCTCTCTTGGGCATTTAGTGCTGATTTGCCTCTCTGACCAAAGATCCTTTAATCAAAGGAACACAGATCCTCAATTACACTTCTCAGATAATCAGAGCTTTCATGGCTTTCTCCCTGAGAAAGTTTCCACACAGGCTGACCTTGTCCCTGTGATCCCACGTCAGGACAGAACCTCAGCTCCACAATTCTCAATGAAGCAGCAGGAGCGCTTTTTGAAGAGTTTATAACCACTATCAAAGCTTCATTCTGCAGCCCAACATTTGTACATAAACACCCCAAAAAGGATTATGGCACTTGCAAAGCCCTCAGTGGCTTCCAGGCTTTTCAGATCTGCTAAGCTCAGACTCATTTCTTGCAGAACTGCTGCACTAACCTCTCCAAAGAGTGACATTTTCAGTGCTGCTGCTCTGGCTGAGCAAGATCCAGAGGATGTGAGAGCCATCACCACCACCCAGGTACCACGTCCTTGCCTCCCAGGATGTGCATTTTGGGTTCAGTAACCCAGAGAGGCTTTAGGACAGTGCTGCATCAGAAGATCAGTGGTTGCACTGCTCGAGCTGCAGCATCACGAGGAAACAGAACTTTCCCAAGGGGCCCTTCCTAAAAGGTGCCACTTTCAAGAAAAAACACACAAATCACAGCAGGGCAGGTTGAGAGCACAGGGCCCTGCCTGCAGCACGAGCACAAAGTGCCTTCAGAACGCTGCACTCCCAGAGAGCACTTAAACTGCGCCCATTTGTGCTGCTGGAGTATTATAAATATTTCAGCAGCCCTGAATTTCCCAGCTTGTGCTCCATACCAAATCCATTGCAGAATAAATTTGCCACGGACTCCTCTGCTTTCGAGAGCTCCGTGCCATGAGGTCTCTTTTTCACTGACATTTTCAGCTGCTGCTGTACATTCTCAGCCCTTGACAATTTTTACAAAGCCGGCTATATCAGCATTGTGAAAAACCACCCGTAAAGGGCTCAGAGGCTCAAACCCTGCACGAAGCCCGGCAGGTGCCACAGCCCCCTCCCGCCCGGTCACCGCCCGGACCGCGGGCAGCCCGGGGGCCGCAGCCGAGCCCAGAGCCCCGCCACCCCCGCGGGAGGACAGCCCCGGCACTGACCGTCACTGGCGGGGAGGCCGCTCCTCAGGGCCCGCGCGTCCTCGCGGGGCGCGGTGGCGATGCCCGGAGGGGCAGGGCCGGGGCCCGGCAGCCGCGCGGGGGACGAGCCCGGCGGCCGCCCGCCCGCCGCCCCCCTACCTTTCCGCCTGAAGAAGGACATAGCGCCGGGGAGGGGGCGAGGCGGCCGCCGGGGCGGGGGAAGGCGGGAGGGAGGGAAGGCAGCGCGCCGGGTCCTATGAATGAGGCTGCTGCGCCCGCCCGCCGCCGCCGCTCCCTCCGCCTCTTCCTCCCGCGGCGGCGCCCGCGGCCGCCATGTTGTCAACAACGGCCCCGCGCCCGCTTCCGGCAGCGCCGCCCGCGCGGCACGGCGGGATGCGGCCGCACTCAACATGGCCGCCCCGGCCTCGCCCCCACCGGCCAATGGGGCCTGGCGGGGCCGCCATGTTGGGTGAGGGCAAGGAGCCCGCGGGGGGGCGGGGCGGCCATCTTTGATCAGGGCGGGGGGCGCCGGGCGGCGTGAGGCGCCGGCCGCCATCTTGGCTGAGGGCACGGGTGACCCGGGGACGCTGCGGCAGCGAGGGAGCGACCCGCGTGCAGGGGACAGGGCACGGAAAGCAGGGGACAGAGCCCTGAATGCAGGGGACAGGGCACCGAAAGCAGGGCACAGAGAGCCCCGAAAGCAGGGGACGGCGGGCGGCCGCCGTGCAGGGCCGTGAGAGCCGAGGCGCCCTGGAGAGAGACCTCAGGGACGTGTCCCAAAATGTCCCCTTCAGCCGTGGGGGCTCAGCAGAGGGGCGGACAGACAGACGGACACACGGACAGCCCTGCCCGGGGTGTGAGGGCTCTGCAGTGCCGGACCGGTCCTGCCGCCGTGTGGGGCCTGGCTGTGCAGGACACGCGGCCGGTGCCGGAATGCGGCGGCTCCTCCATCCCACGGCAGCTCCCTCATCCCACGGCAATTCCTCCATCCCACAGCAATTCCTCCATCCCACGGCAGCCCGGGTCCAGCACAGCCAGAAATCCCTGCCGGGCCGCTTGCCACCTGCGGGATTGCTGTCCCATAAGTCAGTTCCGTCTGCGCCCCGAATCCTGCCACAAAAATCCTCTTAATCACCCTCCCGAGGCAAATCTGCTCTTCCCTCACCTGCCAAGGATGTTTGTCACCATGACACGGTGCTTAGGTTGATATCTGATGAGGAGATCTCTGCTCTAAAAGCTTTACAAACACTTTGTAAACACTGTGATGATAAATTCTGGTTTGTGTGTGAGGAAACTGAGGCACAGAGCCAGAGGGCAGCTCTGTCACCCCGGATCGATGCAGTGTCACCCTGAGCCGTGTAACTGTCCTGCCCTTGCTCCTGAGCCGTGCCAAAATGATGTAATTAACAATCATTGCCTGAGTTTCTGAGCTGTCTTTCATCCGAGCATTCCAAAGCTCTTTACAAACACTCAGTAATTAAGACTCATAAATTGTAAATGGCATAAAAGGTACACGGGGATCTTCCAGGGCTGGGATGGAGCTGTCTCCTGGGCGGGATGGTGCCGCTGATCAACACCCTGTAGCAATTGCATTTTCTCTTTTGATATTATTTTTGTTAACTGGTGCTCTTTGATACAGTTTTGTACACATGCCCAGAGGCTGGCTGGAGCATAATGAACTATTCTATATGGTTTCTGCATAATGAATGGAATTATTTAATTGGCACATAACCTTAGAGACTGCTAATAGACTGAAACATTCTGAAGATGAGCAAACTGGAAAGAATGGGGTGACTCAGGGAACACTAAATTAACATATTCTGCCAAAAACTTTGCACCCAGGCCTCTGGGGTTTCAGAGCATACATGGGGGTTGAAGAAGGATGCAATGATTTACACAAGAGTTTGACATTATTACCTTCCCTGGACTGAAATTTTCTCTCACTTTTGGGATTCAGACGGGCTGAAGCTCCAATCCAGAGCTGCTCACTCAGCCTTGGACCTGGATGTGAACTGGAAGTGTGAGTGGAGGAAGGTGCTGGAGTCTTTAACAGAACATGACAGTTTAATTATCTGAGCAATCAGTTAAATATGACTTCAGGACATGGGTTGGCCAACGTCAGAGAAGCTGAGGAACTCCTCCCTAAATGAAAATATTCAAATTAAAAAAAAAAAAAAGCTGTCTCACTGCTTGATTTTTTCTGAGGGACTCCTCCCTAAATTAAAATATTCAAATTTAAAAAAAAAAAAAAAAAGCTGTCTCACTGCTTGATTTTTTTCCTCTCCACAGCTAGAAAAAGAAGTAAACTTTTAATATCTGAAAAGATCTGAATGGAATGCTCGTGTTTGGACAGATATAATAAAGCAGGACAAGACTTTGTTGCCTTTGATAATTAATCACAGGGCACTGCTCTGCTCAATTACAGCACAAAAGCACAAATGTAACACACATGAGAGGCCATTCCCATTTCTCCCATCTTTGGGACAGTCCATTTATTCCCATGATGCTGGGATTCTCTCTCATATATAGAATTCTAACTACTTTGGGAACACAAATACCAAAAATTATATGAGTAAGGATTTTAACAGCTGAGATCTTACTCTGGAATAAATAATAACGTCCTAAACACATCAGGAGTCAAAGATGCCTTTGCACAGAAACTCACATCACCTTAAATTAGAGATTTGTATTTTACTTTTTCTCTTCTTTTCTTTTTTAATGGGAAAGCAAGTGTCTGCATGCACACACAAAATTCCTGGCAGGTTTGGCTGTGGCTGACCTCAGTCCATGAACCTCATGGGAACAGGAGGGTTGGTACCTGTGCTGAGCATTTCAAAGAAGGGAATTCTCCCACGTCCCAGCCTGGTGAAAATTAACTGCTTTTATTAAAACACTGCAATTCCTCCCTGTCTCCTTCCACGGGGCACATTCCCAGGGAGGGAGGTTTGTTCAAGCACGGGGTGAAGAGTCTGCCTGACTCCCAGTGGTGAGTTAAAACTCGAGGTCTGAACTGTAAAATGGGGTAAAAAGGTAAAAAAAAAAAAGGTTCACTCCCAGCAGGAAGAGCGGTGTTGGTGACCTGCTGCTGCAGGTGTGCTGGACAGCAGAGCTTTAGGAAGCAGCACTGAGCAGCAGAAAGCAGAAAATCCCCTTCTCCAGGTCCTGAGCTCTTCCCAGCCCTGCCGCGGCTGCTCCTGCAGGAACGGAGCCTTTTCTGCAGGGCTGGAGCCACTCTGGGATGATCCTGACTTAGGGAAGGCAAAGGGGCTCGCTGGCACCTCCACCTGCCCAGGCGGCATCGCGGGGGACTCACCTCGGATGCCCTTTCTCCAATCCACAGTGCTTTCCCCAAGTTCTTGCCATTCTGTGGCATCATAAATACTTGGAAAATAATAATTTATTTTAACACCACCTTTTGTTTCTCCGTTCTTTCCCCCCATCCCACCGTTTGCTTTTCTAGATGCCTCAGGGAGTACAACAAGCGATGACAGCAGTCGGGTCTTTCTTCAAACCAGGGATATGGGGGGAAAAACAAGGCTGAGTGTGATTTTGTCCCTTCAGAACTTTCCTGAGGCCACAGGAGGAGCAGCATCCGCGGCATTTCTGAAATCAGGACACAGACACACGCCCGTGGAGCCCAGCGGCTGCATGCGGACAGAGCCGCAGCGCTGCCGCACACTTGGCCGGTGCGTTCAGCTGCAGGAGCGGATCTGCCATCGCTGCCGCAGCACTCCGGGCGCGCACCAGGAGAGGGTGCCAAGCCCCCGGCTTGTGCTGCCGGGATCCGCACGGGCTTCCCAGGACGCGGAGCCCTCTCCAAGCGCTGCGTTTAAAACACCAACCAACGCGCCCTGAAGCTAAAGGAAAATCTCTTTTTTTTGGACCAAAAGCTGCCCAAATGTCTTTACCTGTTTCAGCGCTATCGGCAGTAAGTGCCCGAAACCCGCCCGAGGACATTAGCGCAGGATAAAGGCTTTTTTTTGCTACATTTTGAAAAGGATCTGGTTCTTTATGCGGCTGATGGACGTGGGACCGCTGGAGGCCGAAAAAACCCGTAAGATCTGCGAGGCACGAACATAAAACATCAATCCGTGCTTCACAGGCACCGCGAGGTTTAGCAGGAATAAAACCTGATCCATGAAGTTTTTAGAATGACTGTTATAAAAATCCATCTGCACTGGGAGGCGCAGCTTTTACACCTCAAGCAAGCGCAGGCTCCCGGGCAGCCGCTCTGCCTCCAACACCTTGGAGAAACCTGCGGGATTAGAGGATAACACAGCCCGAGCCGGCAGACCCCGAGTCCGAGACCTCCCTGCCACGGAGGGTTCAAATCCCCCGCGCGGTGCTCCCGCGGAATTCCCGCACCCGCCTTCCCCACGCGTGTCCGGGAGAGCTGCCGGAGCGGAGCCGCAGCATCGCCGTCTGCGGGCACGGAGGGAGGGTTAAAAATACCGCCGCTAATTGACCGCAGCAACAACCCGACCCTTTCGGGGCCGCTGCAGCGGGCGGAGAATCGCCGTGAGCGCCCCGAGCAGCGGGCGCCAGGTGACCCCGCTCCCCCGCCCCGGATTCCCCCCGCCCGCCGCGGGTGTCGCAACCGCGCCCGTCCTCAGCCGCGCCCCGCGGGGGGGGCGGCGCGGGGAGCGCGCAGGGAGCGCGCAGGGAACGCGCAGGGAGCGCGCAGGGGCGCGGGCAGNCCGGTGGCGGGCGCGGGGGCGGCGCGGGGCGCGGGCTCCCTGCCCCGCCGGCGCACCATGTGCAGCGGCGTCGGCTGCTTCTGGGCGCTGCTCTCCGCCGGCCTCCTGGCCGCCTGCGCCGCCGCCTTCCTCTCGCCGGCCTGGCTGCTGCCGCCCGGCCGAGCCGCCGCCGGTTTCGGCTTGCTCTGGCGCTGCGCCGGGCCGCCCCGCGGCTGCCACGGCTCCGCCGGCCCCGGCGGCTTCGGAGACATCCCCTCCGGTTCCTGGCAGGTGAGCGCCTCCCCGCCGCGGCACCCCCCACAGCCTCTCCCGGGAATCTCCCGGCAGCTCCCCGACATGCCGCCTGCCCTTCCCTGGACTCCCCGGCGTCTCCCGTCACCTCCCCGACATCACCCGTGTTTGCTTCTGGCGCTCCGGCATCCCTCATCACCTCCCCGGCATCTCCCGTCACCTCCCCGGCATCCCCCCCTTGCCTGCTTTGGGTTCCTCGGGGTCACCCCATCACCTCCTGGCCTCCCCCCAGACCTGCTCCCGGCTCTCCAGTATCTCTCTGTCCTCCTCACGCCTCTAAGATCCTCCTGTCATCACCCCAGCTTCCCTTGTCCTGTCTCCCAGAGCTGCTCCAGCATCCCTATCCTGCCCGGATCATCCCAGGCATCCCCTGCATCCCGCAGCTGCCCTCGAGCATCCTCTGCATCTCCCCGTGCTCTCTCCAGCATCCCTTCCACCCTCTGCATCCCGCCCGTCCAGCCTCGAGCATCTCCTCAGCACCCCTCGGGTATCCCGAGATCCCTGTGGGGGTCTCATCCCTCTTTGGGATGCTGGGCTGTTCTCGGGGTGCTGCGTGGACCCAGCGTGGTGCTCAGGGGGGCCGACCGCGGGGCTGACCCGGCCACCCCGCCCTGCCGGGGCCCCAGATCCCCCCGCTCCTGCTGGGTGTGCAGGAGGGACTCGGGGAAGCCGGAGAGGTTTCTGTGCTTCCCAGCGGGGCGCTGAGCATCACTCCCGGCTGAGTTTGCTGTGCAAGGAGGTGGCTGAAACTGCTGCTCCTGGGACACGTGGATGCAGAAATCGAGCCTGGATGTGGGGGATCGGGGCTGTCCCCCTGCCCGGCCACCCGGGGTGATGCCCGTGCCAGGTTTTGGGAAGGAAGGAGGCCCAGACCCCCCCGCTCGCCCCATGGGGTCCGGGGCTGCTGTGGTGTCCCGAGGTGACAAAGAGCCGCCTGTCACGCTGGGTGTGTGCAGGGAGCGCACAAAGCCCGGCCCCGGCACCCACCGCCCGTTTGGCCCCGTCCTTCCTCTCTCCTCTCCCTCCATCCTTACCCCGAGGCTGTGAGTGTGAAATCCCTGCCTCTGCTCGGAACACACGGGCTTGGACTCGCTCCAGGTCACGGTGTGGCAGCATCCCCAACGCGGGGCTGCATCCCGGAGCTCGGGGCTGTGCCGGGCACAAAGGGTGTCTGACAGCAGCTGGATTTCTCAGCCTGCCATGGAGCTGCGCTGTTATCTCTCCCAGGACACCAGGTCTGCGTGTGATTGCTTAAATCCCATCACGGTCTTTAAAATTGGCATTAGAGACAAATATTGTGAATTGCAAAGAAAAGAACCAGCTGTATAAACTCCTAACTATTTATATAAAAAGGTGCAAAAATGCTCTTGTTTCCATGGGCTGGCCTTTGTTCAGATGTTTTTGCAAATGTGATGCAGATAAACACTTCCAAGTAATAACAAACTTTAAAGATAAGAAGGAAGCTCAGCAGTGACTCATTTGAACAAGCTTCAGCCTCTGAAAACACTGAGATCCAGAATAAAATGTCGCACGAAGTCTCTGAGTTCCTGAGCTTGGGCTAAGGAAGAGATGAATAATCACAGCACTGAGGGGAGTTTGCAGGGCATTTTGGTGACATGTCCGTGTCACCTCTATTAATACCACCCAAATAATTGATGAACAACCAGTGCAGACTCTTTCAGAGGAGAGTGTTCCCTCACCAGCTTTCTGCCACGAGGAGGGGCAGAATACCTGTTGTGATGGTTATTTGATGGGCTGGAATGTAATAAAATAGTCCTGACAGCTTTGCTGAGGCAGGCGACAGCTTTGGCTTTCTTGCTTGAGCAGCCTCCGAGCCCGCACGCCTCGGTGCTCAGCACAGCGGAGCCGAGTGCCGAGAACCCCGTCCGAGTGCAAGCAGGAGATTTCTCTCTGTTTTGGAGAGATGGGGAAATCGCGGCTCTTTTTTCTTTGCTTTCAGAGCCGTGACGTTCATTTCAATCTTTCCAGCGAACTGATGGGCAGCTCTCTCTTTAAATGAAAGCCGAACGTGGACAGGAATGCGGGAGCTCCTGAAGGAGCCTCCAGCGTTTGCTCAAGTGGAGTTTGCTGCAGGAGGGAGGGAGCTGCGGCTGCCGGGGGCAAAGGCGGCTCAAGCTGGTGCGGGGCTCAGGAGCTCTGCTAGAGTGGAGCTGGTGGCACATCTGGGGGTGCTGAGCACACTGGGTGGGTGCTGAGCACATCTGGGGATGCTGAGCACATCTGGAGAGGGTGCTGAGCACACCTGGGTGGATGCTGAGCTCACCTGGGTGCGTGCCCACCCTGGGGATGCTGAGCACCTGGGTGGGTGCTGAGCACATCTGGGGGTGCTGAACACACCTGGGTGGGTGCTGAGCACACTGGGAGGGTGCTGAGCACACCTGGGTGGGTGCTGAGCACATCTGGGGATGCTGAGCATATCTGGAGAGGGTGCTGAGCTCACCTGGGGATGATGCTGAGCGCACCGCACATCTGGGGGTGCTGAACACACCTGGGTGGGTGCTGAGCACACTGGGAGGGTGCTGAGCACACCTGGGTGGGTGCTGAGCACATCTGGGGATGCTGAGCATATCTGGAGAGGGTGCTGAGCTCACCTGGGGATGATGCTGAGCGCACCTGGGTGGATGCTGAGCACACCTGGGTGGATGCTGAGCACAGCTGGGTGGATGCTGAGCAAATCTGGGGGGGGTGCTGAGCACAGCTGGGTGGATGCTGAGCACATCTGGGGAGGGTGCTGAGCACAGCTGGGTGGATGCTGAGCTCACCTGGGTGCGTGCCCACCCTGGGGATGCCCGTCCCTGGGGATCGTGGCTCTTTCTGTCTCCTCGCTGCTGTTCGGTGCTTCCCCTCTCCGGTTTGTGGAAGGGTGGGGGAGCGTTCAGTCCGCAAATGATCGTTAATGCCAGTTGTGTGTGCACTTGGGGGATTATGTTAATCGTGCTACAAATGATGCTTTGAATCATGTCTGGAGGTTAATTAACATGCCTTTCTTCTCTTAAGAGGGCCTTCATGTCTGCTTAGAGTTGCTGGCTTTTTTCTGCTTCCTTTCATAATTACTTTGCAGCTCTCTAATATCATGGGTACCTTTAATTTAACCCTGTCAGTGCTGCTGGGCTTTGCACTGAGCTCAGCATCATGATGGTTATTTGATGGGGTGGAATATAATAAAATATCCCTGATGGCTGCAGATGGTGTGGACAGGCTGAGACCTTGCAGGAGCTGATGGAAACTGGAGAGGATTTGGCTGGACCAGAGAGAAGAAAGGATGGTGATGGTGATATTGCCCAGCCAATTTGTGAGTGAGGCCCTTAGGATCTGTTGTGGGATGACTTGGAGCTGTGAGGGCTGCAGAGGGACATCCCAAGGTGTGCAGGTACCCTGGGGAGAGGGGATTGCTCTTGGGAGGACAAATCACAAAAACAGGTGAACTTTTGAGCTTTGAGTGGTTTCATTGTCTCTCATGACTTTTCTTTTTCCTGGTGCCAGATCACTGTGTACGTGCAAAATAGTGCTTCATCCTCAGCTAATTTATTTTCTCTTTCAGTGGGAGCATTTGGCTCATGGGTTCCTGTCTCAGTGCTGCACTTGGGAAGCTACTGCTGCCACATTTCAGATTTCTATTTTTATTTTTCCAGATAGTCTCCAATTATTTTCAGGCTTTGCCAAGCATGTAATCTAAAATAACAAAGAAGCTGATCAGCCCATGATATTCAGGTTAAAGCCACATGGACCATTTCCCTATGGAGCCAGTGATGCCATGCTGGAGCAGAGCCCAGAATAACCTGCTCAGGACAGGGGAGAGGCTTTGCCCAACCCCAGCAGTTCCTTGAGTGGGTCTTTCCTGGGCTTTAAAGCAGGACTTGATTCAGCAAAGCTTAGTGAAAATGTACAATAAACCTGCTTACCCTTTTATTAAATCTTCACTGCTGGTTTCTCACTGCATCAGTTCAGCCCTGGGTCCCTGGTGTCATCTGGGGTTTGCCCACTGGGGCCAGGTTTGCAGATCAGCAGTCCTGATCCCACGAAAAAGCACGTGGGGTCTTCGTGGAGATGGGAAGAAATCTGTCACTCTGTGGAAAATCTGTCCCTCCTCTTCTAGCACAGGCTCTGGAATCAGGGAGAGAAGCAGTGTGACCCAAGCAGGGCCTCGGGTGCGTGCTGCCTCTCAGGCAGAGTCTGATCAGGCCAGCACATTAACTTGGGATTATCAGGAAATCAACTTTTAGCCCCTCATCCTAAGAACTTCCCAAGAGACCAGACTCTGTCTGCCAGTCCATTTGATTTTTAATTGCACTTACACAACCTTGGCGAGAGTTGTGAGCGCTGAGTGTCAGGAATTCTTGACATCACCACCTTCATGCACATTACCCCAGAGCAGATTTATCTGCTTTCATCAGCCACCCAGACTTTTCTGACCTACATTAACAGCACTGGTGTTGGGGAAACCTGTAATTCCTGGGCTGTGGCCCCACATTTCAGTGCCCAAATCACAAACCACCACTGGGACTCATCAGCCTGCTCTCAGCTAAGCTGGGCTGAAAGGGGAGCTGAGGCAGGACCAGCTTAAGGGTGGGCCCTGGGAGATCAGGTTGATTGGAAATGCAGCCAGGCTGCTCTCAGGATTAGTTCTGTCCCTGCTCTCAGAGGGAGAGGGAAGCTGCTTTGCTCCGACAAAGAGGTGGTGTCAGCCCGGGGCTGCAGGGCCAGCGGGCTCAGCTGAGCTGTGGCCACTCCTGACAGGGACAGTCAGGTCACAGGGGTCACCTGCCCACGTATCCCCCCTCAAAGAGCAAATCCCGAGCCCTGCACCTCGGGAAGGGCACAGCAGAGCCATTCTGATGCTGCATTCCCCCTTTGCAGGGCCCAGAGCAGAGTCTGGCTCAGGCTGGCAGGGACATTTGGCAGTGGGACACCCCCTGCTCCTCCCGAGGCTGCAGACCCCGCTCTGCCCGGGCTCCTCC